CCCTTTCCCAGCTTGCACGTCGCCTGCGGCAGGCCCAGGGCTTCCAGCCCTCACCCTGCGGACAGGCAGCCACCGTGAGAAAAGCTGCTGCAAGCCAGGCAAAGCATTTACACATTGACTGCAAACACGTAGGTACTGACTCCAAACCGGTGCCCGTGCCAGCAATGCCCCAGCGCTGGGATGGGGAGGGAGAGCCCCTGCAGAGCCCCGGCTCCCAGGCACCTCCGCCGCAGACGTGAGCATCAGCTGGGCGTGGGCAAGGAGAAGGTGTTGGAAGCTGAGCTCCCCTGATGTGGCAGACCAGGGATTTTGAGCAAAGGGCAAGAGGATTAAAGCAAGACATTGAGACCCCGTTTTAGTCAGGGCTAGCAAAACACCTGAGGTGCAGAGAACAAACACTGGGTTTTTAAGTGCAAATTATTTCAGAGCAATGGGGTGGGAGGTTAAGAACAACCAGAAAAAGACTAAAACACAACTAGCAAATACAGGAAAAAAACGGGAGGGGGATCTGTAGGCTTGATCTGACCATCTCTTAGAGCTGCCAGTGAGTTCAGCACCCAGAGGGGAGACCACTGAGGGTAACCCAGGGTGGCACTAGAGGCGCCTGGTAGCCGAACGAGGGTGCTCTGCTCCCAGTGCCAGGGCTGAGCCGGTGCCACAAAGCAATGGTAGGAAGTGCTGTACTGCAGGGGCTGTCAACTTCTGGAGGAAACATAAAACTAAAGATGTGACCACTCTGGGACAGTAAATCTCTTTCATGAAGCCTTTCCCACAATTAAGAGTGCTAGTCCCAGTGCTCTGGCCACAGTTCAATTCAAGAAATTACAGTTGTCTTCCCCACTCTCCCTCCTCCCACATTCAGTGAGATGCTGGACTCCCTTCACTTCTTGTCTTAAACGGGCACACGACAAGACCATGGCTGTTGCGCTGCCACACCTCGGTCTGGCGAGTCTCCAGGGTGGCTGAAAAGCTCTGGGCATTTCAGCAAGCACCCCTGGCACTTTGAGGGCGCAGCAGCCCCGGGACTCTGGGCACTGCGCTCAAGCCAGACTCACAGTCACCCCCAAAGCGGGCTGGTACAAAAGCTAAGTCTTCCCCCCCAAAAAAGGCAAAGCTTAAAGGCTTTCTTGATGCTGATTGTCACCAGCACTACACAGCCCTGATGCCTTTCAAAGACTGGCTCCAAGCACTCTGCGATGGCCATGACCAGGCCTGGTACCAGGGCCTCAGCCCTTCCCACTGCCACTGGCAGCTCTTGTTGCAGGCCACAAGTTCCCCAAACTACATTCAACAACCAAAAGAGGTAAAAACGTTTCTTGCCCGTGAGCTGTCACAGGTACAGCTGTCTCCGACGTGCTCACTCAAACCGAGCACAACAGCGACAGCTCCATCAAACATCTCGTATTGCTACAGACGTGAACCACGTGCCCACCAGCTCACACCCAGTTTACATAAAGCCACGGTGTTTCGACGTACCGCAATGATGCTCAGCCCCAGCACGGCCTGCGAAGCTGCCCACTGTGCAGGTTAAGAGGAACAGGACACCCAAATCTAAGGGTCCTTTCCCCGTGGTTCCAGCTCAGCTACTGTGGGCGTTGTCATCTCATCATTAAATTACACAAAACTCCCCCAGTCCTGAAAGTTCATTCCCCGGCCAAGCTTGTCAGCGTCATTTCAAGGAGGTTCCCCCAGCCCAACAACTTTGCAGGGAAGGACAAGCATCCAGGTGGGTGCTTGTTCAAGACCCATGAACATACACCAGCACTCCAGCTCCCAGCCCTGCCAGCAAAGGCTCTCAAGAGCTTAATTGCAGGACAAAAGAGGAAAGAACCATAAATCAGGAGAAACGTTCTTTTTGTGCCTTTTCATCACTTTCCTCGGGAGGCAGCTTTCACTGAGCTGGGAGCTCAGAGCCAGTGGTCACAACTGCGTGATGCAGAGGCTGTGGTGTAGCAGACCCCAGGCTTCCCCTGGCTGCCCACACCACAGAAGACAGTCAAGGGTACAATCAAAGGGCAGAGCACTCATGAAACGGGGGTGTTTAGAAAGAAACGAGTGTTTTGAGTGATGGACAGTAAGGAAACTAGCTCTCCGCACCCACAGCAAGGTCTCTCGTCCACACCACAAAGTGTCTGAGCCTATCCTGGCACTAAGAGAAAAATATTTTGTAGAAGACATGCTGAAAGGGGGGTTGGAGCAACGAATCTGCTCTGAAGCCCACAGGGCGTCATTACCTCCGAGCTGAGCAACAGTCTGCGCTGCTGGTAATGCACGACGCATCAAGACACAAACTTCATGGAAAGAGATGTTCTTGGAGGCTGGAGGGACACTTGGGTGATTCCTGTCCCTGCAGCTGAACAGCACTAGGATAACCTGGGGACACCGGCTGCCACAGACCAAGAGCAGGCAGAGAGATCCTGACTGCCCAGGTCAGGGCAAACCCTGTAATTCCCAGATCTGTTTCCCCAGATCCACCGTGGGTGCAGGAGAAGCAGAACTACAGCATCAGGTCATGGGCAATCCTGCATCCTAACCCTGCAGGCAGTCACCAAAAGCTTGGTGCCAGAGACATTTTCAGGTGACACTGACGGCATCCCATCAGCTAAAGCCGTCACAAACCCGCACTCCGCTTCCTCCCCTGAAACCCCAAATCAGGCTGTCATCAGGCAACCCTCCTGTACTCACACCCAGCCACGCCACGCAGCCGGGGCACGCCGCGGAGGTGGTCAGGCAGACTACGGACAGGAATCGCTCACCAAAGCAGCTGCCACGAGGTCGTGAGCCCC